ATAATAATAATAATAATAATAATAATAATAATAATAATAATAATAATCATTTTATTTAAAAAGCACCTTTCAGGACACCCAAGGACACTTTACAGTAAGAAACATATCAGAAAGATTGAGTTAAAACAAACAAGCACAGTGCAAAGATCAACAGGAATAAATTACATAAAGAATATAAATTACATAAAGAATATAAAATACATAAAAGAAATGCAAAAATCAGACAATACAGGGTTGACTCCAGAAGGTAATGCCAAGGTTTGATGCAAGAAGATGTGCATACTTGGAGTATGTGTTGGGAACGGTGCTTAGCTTCCAAGCCACCAAATTTTAGCTCAATATCTATATAATTGACTGAGTTATCATAAATTTTCTGTTTTCTAAGATCGCTTTGCTATTGGGGCCATCTTGATCTGGATTAACTCCAAAAGTTAATCCCTTGCAGGGGCACATCCAATAATAATGTGAAAATTTCATTTAAATCCATCCAGTGTTTCATTAGATATGTTGCTAACAGACATACAGAGTTGATACCAATAGGTCAGGGCAATGTTTTATGCACCGATCTCGTCCAATCAATTAGTGCTCAAAGTACAAGTTAATGATTACTATCAGTGACTACCAAATCAAACTTTAGCTCAAAATCTGCAAAACGGACAGAGTTATCGATGTTTAAGTGTTTTCTAAAATCACTGTGCTGTGGCGGCCATCTTCAATTTGGTTGGCTCAGTTGTAGCCGAACCAGTGACGATTTTCTGGAACTTTTCTCCAAATCTGTTCAGCGATTCGTAAAATATTTTGCTAACCCAGACAAACGAACAATAGGTGTTTGGTGGAGAAACCAAAACCAGACTCTTTTTCTGAATTATTTTTTAAATTATTACTCTACATAATTCAACTCTTGTGTTTAGTTTAATTCAGCTGAATTCAAGTGTTTTTTTACACCCAACAGGAGATTTGAAGGGCAGAGCATGAGAGCTAAGACCCACCGTCATTTCTAAAAGGACACATTTTCTGTGGGAAGCGTGTTAAGTAGAAGTATATAAGTGAGCAGTATATGAAACTCTGCAGCTCACTCACACATGCCTGGACACAGTGGGACATACTGTGGCAGCTATGAGTCAGTGAGCACTTGTTAGCGGTCAGACTCTTTCCCTCCAGTTGGCACAAACCTCCAGTGACTCAGGGAGACTTGTCGACCAGGAGCCAGCAAGAACAACAGTGTCAAAACTCAACCGAAAAGCTGTGTGGAAAGAAATCATCTCGTGCTAAGAGCTCTTTTACA